TTGCTGTGTGGTGCTTAGAAAAAGTGTCTTTAGGGGGCAAAAGGAAAAAGAAATTAGCTAATGTGTCATTATCATTAGCCTGTGACTTGATCACGAAACAACAATTAAAAAGCATTCACACCTGTTTTGGAATTACCTGCCTATTTGTGTAAGAAAAAAGAATCATAAAACTGGCAAAACAACAACAAAATAATGTCAGAAATCATATTAACAGGAAAAAGGGGAAGGAGATGTGCTTTGAACCTCCAGCTCCTTCACAGCTCATCATTTCTTGATGCCCTTTGCCAAGCTGGATGCTGAAGGAAATCTAATGATACACAAAGCCTCATTGCCAGATACTTCATTACTTCTGCAATCCATTAGTAGCCTTAATGGCCTATGCCACTGGAATAAGTATGGAAATCCAGTCCCCCAAGAAAGTACAGTGCTCTATAAATCACACTGGCCTGAGGATTCTCTCAGCCCTTGACACTGAAGAATAGGTGAAAAAAAATCATTGCACTTCCTTAACTCCCTTGTACTAGAAGCTGTCAGCATGAGTGACGCCTTTTCACTTTTTAACCCTGTAACCTCATGGTTCTCAGAGTGTAAGCTGTGGATCAACAGCATCAGTATCACTGGAAACTTGTTAAAAATGCAAATTCAGTGGCCCCACCCAGATGTGCTAGAACCTTGGGGCACAACAGAGCCACTTCTTTTCTTGACATCAGCCTTGCCAGAACTGTCCTGTCAGAGATACCCACTAACAGCTTTTGGCTGGGCGATCAGCTCCCTGGAATCCAGTGCTCTCTAACCTTCTTTCATTCCCTTCCCTACAGAACATACACTTTTCGATTTTCAGTTTTTCCAATTTTATTTTTTAATTTTATTATTTTATTTTTCAATTTTTATTTTTAATATATGTTTTTATACAGAAACTTCATTTATCTTGAGTTTGGGGTTGATTCAAGGTTTTTTTTCTACTTCCCTCTCTAGCCTTGACTCTCAGATGAGACAGGAGCTCTGCCCTGGCATATTATTTACTTTGGTTTTCTAGTAATTCTCATGGCTTTATTCTGAAGGCAAAATCAAGGCTGGGCGTGATGGCTTATGCCTGTAATCCCAACACTTTAGAAGGCCAAAGCAGGCAAATTGTTTGAGCTCAGGATTTTGAAATCCAGCCTGGGCAGCATGGCAAAACCCTGTTTCTAATATAAAATTTACAAAGAATTGTCAGTTTCTCAGTAGGCTAGGGATAGAGAAAACGTTAACTAGCCCACCTGTCCTACAGCAGTGTTTACCAAATCTTAGTATGCATAAAGATTTTTTTTTTCCCTTTTTTTGATACAGAGTCTCACTCTGTCACCCAGACTGGACCGCAGTGCTGTGATCTCAGCTCACTGCAACCTCTGCCTCCTGGCTTCAAGTGATTCTCCTGCCTCAGCTGCCTGAGTAGCTGGGATTATAGGTGCTCACCACAACGCCTGGCTAATTTTTGTATTTTTAGTAGAGACGGGGTTTTGCCATGTTGGCCAGGCTGATCTTGAACTCCTGACCTCAGGTGATCCACCTGCCTCAGCCTCCCAAAGTACTGGGATTATAGGTGATTATGAGCCACCACTCCCAGCCTAAAGATCTTTAGAAACATCATGTTAAAAACATTCTGAGTGGCACTGTTTTTAAAATAATTACCTCATGTTGACCTGGGGTTTCTGCTTCTTTTAATTATGGATTCTTTTTTTTTTTTTTTTTCCTTTTTTCTTGTTTTTCTTTTTTTATTGTGGATACTTGGTTTGGGGTGGCTCTGAGGCTTTGGGGCTGAGAATTATTCTTATTCCTTTGGTATCCTTTGCCTAAAGGATATTCTTTGCCAAACACTTATTTTGCATTAGTTCTTATCTTCTTTGGTTTCTCTGTTGGTTTAATTCCACCTGTTTCCCATGATCTAGGAATTCCATAAATTTTCTGGTCCTCTGATGGCACTGTCTCTTATTTGTCAGTGCTGTTTTGGCTTCATCCTTTTTCCTACATAGTTATGTAGGGGTTGGGCCTGGATAGATGGTAGCAGGGATTGAGTGTACCACCTTGATCCAGTCCGTCTTTGCTTTTCTTAAAGCTTTCTTCCCTCTGTTGTCCCCAGGCATGATTCATTCATTGTACCATGCCTGTTCATATTATTCTAGTGCCAGGTAGCGGTTTGTTCACTTCTTTCATAGCACGTATTTTGTTGTAACATTCTTAAGTGCACATAGATGTCTTAAACCTACTAGATTCCATTCTGTAGCCCAGGTATCTGTAGGCATCAAATTCCAGAGATTTTTCTGCCAGGGTGGAAAAAAAACCATTTTAGCAACAAGCAAATGAAAATGGGGGTCTGAAATACTATGTTAACTGTCTTACAGGATGCATTCACAATGGCTCCCCTCATAGGTTTTATGGGGTTCTGTGTCTCTGCAAGAACCTATGTGATGTTTAAGTCTTCTCAACTCTGAATAAACATCTTGCAAAGCATTGAGTTGTAATAGTTTACTGTTAGGTTGACTTTCTAAGGAAACTGTGGTTCTGTCCTTAGAAGTCACCACTTCTGGTCCTCCTGGAATAGGGCAAGTCTCTCCTTAGATTCCAAGGATTGAATCCTCTCTGGGCTTAAGTGTATTCTGTCTTCTTACTCCTTTGGTGAGGAAGTTAATGGTGATGGAGGTTGGGAGATACCAATGCTTTAATTAGCTAAGTCACAACACTCTGTCCTACTCTTAAAAGATCTTATTTAATTAGGAAAATAAGACATCATTTCACCTTTTATATACCTGTCAATATCTTAACTTATTCAAACACTGACCTCTATGTTGTATAATTAGACTCTTAAAAGATTGAAAATGCCTAGGGCTCCTAATAGGAGTTTTTGCTTTTGTATCTGCCATCACATTTCAAGTATTTGGAACTGACAAAAAGATACCAAAATACTAAAAATTACGAACAATGTAATGAAACTGATAGCATGGATTTCTAAGAGATACCATGATAGAATATTAAATCGTGCTCTTAGGCAGATTATGATGTCTTTTTAGTTTTATGGTTCTCTCTGTGTATTTGTGTGTGTATATACATGTGTGTGATTTTTTATTTTTATTTTATTTTATTTATTTATTTATTTATGTTATTTTCATTGAGATGGAATCTTTCTTTGTCGCCCAGGCTGAGTGCAGTGGCACGATCTCCCCTCACGGCAAGCTCCACCTCCCGGGTTCACACCATTCTCCTGCCTCAGCCTCCCGAGTAGCTGGGACTACAGGTGCCCGCCACCACGCCTGGCTAATTTTTTTTTGTTTTGTTTTATATTTTTAGTAGAGATGGGGTTTCACCGTGTTAGCCAGGATGGTCTCGATCTCCTGACCTCGTGATCTGCCTGCCTTGGCCTCCCAAAGTGCTGGGATTACAAGCATGCGCCACCGCGCCCAGCTGTGTGTGATTTTTTTAATCAGCTAAGCTATATCCTCAATCTCCACTTAAAAATGCTTAATTATACATCGAATCTCGATGTATAAGGAAATCACATAAGTACTTAACGTGTAGGGTTCTTATGGGGACTAGTGAGAAGTAACACTTAGATCATGAAGGGCCTTTTATAAGCTTTGCTCTTCCACCTAATGCTTTTCCTTTTTTTTTTTTTTTGTAATGACTTGGAGATAAAGAGAAACCTTTAATTATATGAAGGATATTAAGTACGGTGGTGGTGACATGAGATTCATGTTGTAAAGAATCACTCTGGCAGCTTTGGGGAAGACGAATGGAGATAGAATGAAATAAAGGATGGAGATACACTTTGAGAATCCATTAGGATGCTGGGCAAGACACTATGGACGGAGGCAGTGGCAGTTGGTATGGATGGTAGGGAGAGATCAGGGTAAGATTAAGAGACAGAATTTAAAAGATTAAGTCACTGATCAGATGTCAGGACATGAAGAGTTAGGAGTTAAATGCACATTGGTTCTTGCAAGTCTCTGATAAAATATTAGTTTTTAGAAGGGTTTGAGTTTAAGTACCTTTATTGTCCCAGGAAAGAAAATCTACCTGTAAAAGAAGAGCACCAACATTTGATCAGATTTCAGACCTTTTTTACTCTTCGGAATGAAAATTTGAGCTTTTGATCATTGTTTCTTCTGCTTTCCAGAGCTGACCCTGTGTTTTTCTACAGCCATTTTTTCCTAACCCTCGAGTATTTGTTCACAACTTACATTTAGTGAAGCTGTTTTTCTCTATCTCTCATAACAAATGTACTGATAATGTTTAGGGCTAATTGTATGCAATTTACTTTTTGAATTGTGGTAATCATTATTGCTGTTTTTATTTTCATCTTCTCTTCCGCAGGCATCATCAGCTATAGATATTCAACCAAATTACGCCCTTTGGGGTGATTTTCAATTTTCTCCCTTTGGGAGGCATATTTTTTTTGTCAGTCATGAAGGGTTCAGATTTGGATTATTAAACACTAGTTTCCACATTGGACCATTTAACACTTTACATTTCCTTGTCTTTGGAAAACTTAACTTGCCCCTATGCTGTTTGGGTGTTTTTGAAGACCACATCTAATTTATGAAAGAATGACCTGTCCTCCAAACCCATATTCTACTTCTTGTTGCACAGAAAGACCTGCAGTACAGGAGGGTAAAACAGAAGTAGCTTCAGCATTCATGGATTATTTATAGGAGCACCTCTGGGGTCTTTTCCTGAGCTCTGTGCCTACGGGAGTATGTGCAGAAGTGTTTGGCTTTCCTTGCTACAAGAAATAGTTAAACATATGTCTGGTAGTCTGTGACCATAGCAGTGTGCTGCTTTTAAAGTAAGTAGATTACGTTGCCACAGATGCTGTCACCACTAGGGCCCCTGGAGGGTCAGGACTTCTTGATGTAATCAGTTTTTTCTTTTTTTTTTCTTTTCTAGTAGCTATTGTTCTGTAAATTGTGGGAACTGACTGGGTTACAGAACGTGAATTGATGTTCTTCTCTGTTTTAACCTTCCAGAAATGCATCTTCTGCAGACACCGGGTTAAGAGGGTCTCTGGAGCCTGCATCCAGTGTTCCTACGGTCGCTGCCCGGCCTCCTTCCATGTCACTTGTGCCCATGCTGCTGGGGTACTGATGGAGCCTGACGATTGGCCTTATGTGGTGAACATTACATGCTTTCGACATAAGGTCAACCCCAATGTGGTAAGACGTGCCCTCCCTTCCTCAGTGCTAGGACCGCGTCTGGATTTTCTCCTGTTTTAGACTACCTCCCAGACAAAATGTGCTTTATTCTGTAATATTACTCATTGTTGACATGTCTGGACCGTGAGTTCCTTGAGGGCGGGGATTGCACACTATTATTTACTGATATTTGCCTAGGACCTGTCAAGTGTCTGGTGCACACTAGACACAATAAATCTGTATGAGTTGAATGAGTGAATGAACAGATGAATGCAGAAAACTCTTCATGCCTGTTCTGGTGTTGGATCTATACACAGGGCTGCTGAGTTTAGTTGTACACATTGTGCACTGCCCATATCCAGGATGAGAGTGAAATCATTTCTGCAAGGGGATCACCACCTGAGATTATGTAGTGAACAGTCTATGAAACTGTACACTGTGGTCTTGGGATGTTGTTTTATCTCTTTTAGAAGAAACAAAGAGCAGCAGCACAGTCAAGGAAGAGGTAGGATGGCCAGGAGCTGTTGGGACTTTGCTGCCTGAGATGACATATGTGAGGGACAGCCTGGGGCTCTGGAAGGAGTGAGGATAGTCTCATAGAAAAAAATAGAAAAGTAGAGGAGAAATATAGAGAACAAATGTTTTTGAGCTTATTTCTGGGAAAAGTGTTTGCAAGCAAATAACATGAATTTAGCCATATTTCTGTTGACCTGTCCTTGGAGAATGAAATCTTTCCTCTGGTTTAAACACTTAGAAATATGCCAGTGTAGGGATAGTTGATATGTCTTTGTTAGCTTTCCATTTCACCATAATTGTTTTTGGCTACCAAATAGGAGGCTAAAGCATTGTCTAGATGCTCGGCTCTGCTAACTTGCCGCACTTTGTTTTCCCTGAGAGACTTGGCCACAGGCTATTAGCAGCCTAACATGCTTGTCCTATGTCCCTAATAACCTCTTGTGAGTGGCCTGCCAAGTCATCAGCATTGGCTTGTGGAGTCACACACAACAAATCTCCCAGCTCTTGGTAATGCTTTCAGCAATTTCCATTGACGTCTTGAGAGATATTTGATGTTTGTGGACTGGGGCTCTGTGCGGATGTGAGTGGATGCACAAATGTACAAAATGATGTCACCAACTGTCACATCTATTTTATTTGTCTTATTTTTTCATTGTTTCAGGTTCCAAGTTGCATATTCATTCATGCCTTTTCCATAGTTTCTTGAGTTGATGTCCTTTTGCTAAGAATAGTATTATGTATCCAGTAGAAAATACATTTTAGCAACTTTTAAAAAAATATAGTAATAACACCTTACATGACTGTGTGCAGTCAACAGGATTACCTCATTAGAGAATGTATATGAATGCATTTTGAGATGTGAACAAGTTCATGACCTCTGAAGTCAGAGTAGTTGGTGTTCACACTTAGATTCTGCCAGTAACAGACTGTGCAACCCTGTGCAAGTTCTTATTTCTGAGCCTCAGCTTCGTCATCTGTAAAACATGGTATCCCACCTCACCATGTTGTTTTCAGTTCACAGCACAGAGTAAGCACTCAAAAAATGAAAGTTGTATTGCTACTACTACTTCTACTGCTGCTGCTGCTGGTGCTACAATCTTATGTGAACTGGGCCACGTGAGTAGTGTTTTTCCTGTTTTGAGGATAAGAAACCTGAGTTCAGAGAAGTTTAATTCCTTGCCCAAATAGATGCAGATAATGAGTGGCAGGTGCTGGAATGTAAATGCCTTTTTAGCTCATACTCTATTATTTGGTGAATTCCAAACCTCAAATGGCGCTAGAGGTGTTCATCTGAAGCTTTGCTTGGGATCATGCATTACCATTTTAATTTTCCAAAGCCCTGTGGTTACTGATGATTATATTGAAGTTGCTATTAAAGAGATCCAGGTGTTTAATCAGGACTCATTCCTCTTAACTCTGGTGTGTGGTTCAGTCAGGTTTAGGTTACTAATGTGTTTCCTAAATGATGATGAAAAAGAAAATATTTGACTTTGAGGTGATTTAGAAACTACTATCTCCTACAGATCCGCTTTCAGCTTGGTACACTTTGTAAAGACTGGGGAAAACATCATGTAATTTACAACATTACATGAGGCAGCTTTTCCTGATGACGGAAAAATTTTCGTGTTCATAAATTGCCTTTGCTACATTTTCTGGGAGAAGCACTATTAGCACTCTATTTCTGAAGTATATTTCTAGTAGCTATTTCTTATCCATTCTTCTTCCATGAGACTCCAAGTATGGATTCCTCCCCAAAGTGTTTGGGAACTAAGCAGAAGGAATTTATAGAATCTGGCAACTTTGGTTAAGAACATTGTGATTTGCCCCTATTGCTTTAAATGTTCTTTCCTTATCAAGCATAGAAAAGTTCAGATTCACTCAAATATCTCTCTTTGTGTCAACTGTGAATGCTAAGAGATATGCTTCTTAGAGCAGAAGCTGTAGTTTGTCTGTATTCTCAACCATGCATTGATTATTTGAAAGTAATGGGCAATTGCCGAATCATAGCAGTGAAAACTATAAAATAAAGTTCAGGCTAACTTGGCAGCCTGGCCCAGTTGTTTTACAGAATAGTGGAGGATGCCTGTACAATTTAGGTGAAATGAAGTATAAACCTACTGTTGCTTCAGTAGAATCTCCATTTTTACTCACTTTAGGGTTTTTGAGTCCCTTATTTTTTATTTCTCCCAATTATTTGCTATAAAGCATCCAAAAGGACCATTTTAAGGAAAATTCTACTATTCCATTAGTGTCATAAATTATTATTTTTTAATTAATATATTTTTAAAATAGTTCTCATGTTGCGCAGGCTGGTCTCAAACTCTTGAGCTCAAGAGATCCTTTAGCCTCAGCCTCGCGAAGTATCGGGATTATAGGCATGATCCACTGTGCCCAGCTAATTATTTTAAGTATATGAGCTTATTCATTGTTTATTGAGCTTTGGATGTAAAATTATTTTGAATAATTGTATAAAATTCATCTGATTTATTAACACATTATTCCATCAAGCAGCAAGCAGAGTTTATAATTAGAATAGGCAGTGTTTGAAAAAAATAGGGTAAAAATTCTTAAAGATGGAAAAGAGTATGTCACAGGAAGTATACAGCTGATCCCTGTTATTTCAACCTAAATTTTAGCATGTTTTTGTCAAACACCAGCGTTTTTGTCAAACACCGTTTTTGAATGTCACTGCTGTGTTTCAGATGTAAGGTCTCCTTCATGCGTGCACATGAGTGTGTGCTCATCTGTCAATGTGTGTCGTCACGCTGTCCACTTCACCACCTTTTGCATGATTCATTATAACCTATTTTCTGGCTATATTTCCAAAGATTCCACTTGGATATATTCCTAACCCAATTATCTGAATGTTGCACAGATGTTTGTAAGGAAAAGACAACATAATACATAGTAGTTATGAAACTGAAAGCCTTGGAAATGTATTTTTTCTTCAAAGCAAATAGTCAGCTACCTGTAAACCATATACTTCTGCAAAATATAGCACCCCACCGGCCATCTCACACTTGAGTAAACTAGACAGATGCCCAGTGGAAGGGATGCCTGAAAAACAGGTGAGAAGATGGCATGCAATGTTTTTTCCTGGCAAGTTACTTAGTAAACTTTCATATTAGGTTAGAATGATCTGCATATTTAATTCACTGCAATGAACATGGCCTCTTTATACATCTTATATGAGGTACATAGTGTTTTTTCTTAATATTCTTTCCTCCAGAAAAGTATGACATTTAAGTTGTATTCATAGTTTTAGAAACCTTAGAAGTCGTGGCTATTAACATGGAGACAGATACCTATTTAAAAGAGAGGAAGAACTTTTATAGAGAAAACACTGCATTAGTTAATTTATCTGATTTTGTGTATTTTTCCTTTAGTATTATTGTAGCTATGTCAGGACAGTATTTGTTGTTGTCGTCGTTGTCTTTTTATTTCTATCAGCTAGCACTTGGCTATCCATAGGAGCAGCTTGGTATAAATTTGTTAAAATAATTATCTGATGCTAGGGAATGGGATTAGTGGAGGAGAACAAGAACTAGTGTTTATTGAGCATCTTTTATGTCAGGTGTGTTAGGTATTTCACATATGCGCCTTATTCAGAGCAGTGTTTTTTGTGTGCATAATGGAAAGCAGGGTGAGTAGGGTGGCTTCTGTACTGGCACCTCCCATTCTAGAAACTCATCTAGGATCTTGTTATTCCACCGTCTGTCTCTCTCTCTCATGTGTCTTCTAACACTCATCTCAGTGATACAGCTGAGTCCTTGCTCAGCACTTACTGAATGCTTTTTTGTTTTTTATTTTTTTGGGACAGGGTCTTACTCTGTTGCCCAGGCTGGAGTGCAGTGGCATGATCTCAACTCACTGCAACCCTCTGCTTCCTGGGCTCAAGTGATCCTCCCACCTTTGCTTCCCGAGTAGCTGGGACTGCAGGTGTGCGCCCCCATGTCTGGCTAATTTTTGTATTATTTGTAGATACTGGGTTTTACCATGTTGCCCAGGCTGGTCTTGAACATTTGGACTTGAGCGATCTGACTGCCTTGGCCTCACAAAGTGCTGAGATTACAGGCATGAGCCACCGCACCCAGCCTGAATGCTTTTTCCAGCCTCTGGGTCTTTAGGCCAGTTTTACTGCAACTCCTTCCTGTCATCATGAGGCTGGGGCTTAGGACAGGAGAGGACACCACAATACACAGAATCTGCTGAAGGGCTCAAAGCAAGAGCTCTGTGGGTTAACCTATGACTATATAACTAATCTTGGGGTGATGATGTAGTGGGCTACCTCTCATTGCTAACAACAGTGAAACATTCTAGGCCTCATTAATATGGAAAGATGGATGTTTGAGGCTTCCAAATTCTATACCCTAGAATAGTAGTTCCTATCTTGTATTGTGTTGTAGAGCATATTATGCTTTTAGTGTCTGTTATTGAGAAAATACTTAATGAAAAAATAAGAATCAGTATACTTTTATGTGAATTCATTAATTATAAAAGGCCAAGCAGTATTTCAGGTTGATTATGGATTGATAGGGAGAGACTCCAAAACACTCACTCCCACTGTAACATTCCCTTTTAATTAGCCAAGGATGCAGAATTGTAGCACAAGTGGATTCAGCAAATAGGGTAGAAGAGAATGCAGCCTATAATAAGAAAACTTCCCCCTGGGTCCTATTTCCCTAATGGCCATATGCAGTTTTGTATATGTGTAGGCTGTTGCCAGATCTGAAACTAAACCTGTATTTTTGCTATACTATAGGCTTTTATACTTGTGTCTCATTCAGGAAAACTGAGTATCCATGCTTCTCGTTTTAATAAAATTTTTCTAAACATGAAGATGCCCTAGTTCTTAAACCAAAATCAAGGTCAGCAATACTATATAATCAACTAGGGGAAGGAAGTAGTTCTGTTCCCAGATGGGTACCTGAACGATATCTCTCTCCAACTTTCTAGAATTTTTAGAAAGTCTGTTTTCCTCCAGAGCCTACCCCTGATTCTGGTTTATACATTTCAATCCAATTCGTTCCAACAGGATTTTTGGTTGGAAGGCCAGAATTACATTTCACCATATATGCATTTCACTATATTGTGCCCCTTGGATGTAAGACGGGTTGTCAGATAATTGTGTTTTTGTAATTAAGCAGCATTCAGCTAATTTATATCCGTGGTTAGGACTTTGCTTAGCTTTACTTTATATTACTTGACTCTTTTAAACATCATCATGGTTTGTAGCCTTTTATGAGCCCATTTCATACCAGTTGACCAAAATTTTCTTCTTGATGTTCTTGCTCCACTTGGGCCTTTTGGAGCCTCTTCTAGGTGACACTTTATTTCTAATTTTAAACCACTTTTAAATGGTTTGACTGTGTCCCCACCCAAAATCTCATCTTGAATTATAACCCCCATGTGTCAATCGCAGTCCAGGTAGAGGTAATTGGATCATGGTGGCAGTTTGTCTCACAAGATCTGATGGCTTCATAAAGGGCTTTCCCTTTCACTCAGCACTCATTCTCTTTCCTGCTGTCCTGTGGGGAGGTGCCTTCTGCCTGAGGCCTCCCCAGCCATGTGGAACTGTGAGGCAATTAAACCTCTTTCCTTTGTAAATTACCTAGTCCCCAGAGGTTCTTTATAGCAGCATGAGAATGGACTAATCCACACTTGTAGAGGTCTTTGAAACTACCTTTGTTTTTTCTCAGCAAGAAATGCCCGAGTTATCTTGGTTTCTATTGTACCAAACTTGGAATCAGTGATTCATCAAAGAGCCCTGGTTCTGTTTTATGGGAGCTCTACTAGAGAACAAATTTGCCATGAAAGGTGCACATTACCATGTTTTGTTTCATTTGAGTGCTGGCTAATTTAGTACTAGAGCCACTTTAGTGACAGAGCAGATGAATAGTATTTTTTTCAAATGGTTCAGGGTTCATGTTGATATGTCCAATTTACCTGGCTTTAATAAATTCATTTTTACATTGTTCTAACTTGAGGGCTTATTAATGCAATTTCTTCTTTCCTAAGTGATGCCTAAAGATTTGGACCTGTTTTTCTAAAATTCTCTTAACTCTTCCTGGGTTTGCATGGTTTAGCGGGTGGGAGTGAGGTATAGGTTGGGCCTA